TCTGTGCTCCAGTAACAGTTGAGTAAGCCTCGGTCGACTTTCTTCTTTCCTATACTTAGAAATGCTACATGCTAGGCTGATGTGAAGATTTATGTGATCAGAAAGAACAAACGGACGGGGGCAGATGGTGCCACAGCGCTTTAGATATTGCACTTGGTTATATTGTAATTTTCTTAATTGTGCGGCCCTAATTGCATCCACCCTTTCTTTTGTCCCTCTCTTTCTCTTCGCAACAGCTCCCTCCAGTTCGGGGGAATCTTCCTCCTGAGGTGCTTCATTGCCCACGTAACAGGGAGCATCAGGTTAACGGACACTTCCCAAAGCTGACCAGAGGCCAGCTTAGCATAACTGAGTGGAACTGGGACTTTGCTGAACTCCACATACATCCACATTGCCAGGTCGAGACAGCTGCTTGAGAAACGTTTATTTTCTAATAAAATGTAAAACACGCCTTTGTGGGTTTGGCTGGTTGTCCTTTTTATAGTTACATATTACTTGACTGTTACTCGCCCCAGACCAAAGTCAGCAGAACTATGTGGACAGAGAGACTTGCTTTAAACAGAGTGGAGAGGAAGAAGCTTAATTGTTAGAGTATACAGAATGTGTCGCTCTATTCATTTATCTTTAATATCACAACTAACCATACTGGAACCTTCTGAGAGTTTGATCTGGACAAATCTCAGCTGTCTGTCAGAGGAACTCAAAACATAAATATCAGTTCAATATTAAAATCAAATGCCAGTTCATACAATTTCCTCAACAACGCTGTGACCGTGTTCTACCCCCCTCAGTGTCAGCCTGACAGCCTGAGCCACTGTCCTGGCCTTGGGAATGGTGCCATTCAAACCTCCATCAGAACTTCCACCAGCACCAACAGGATGTGACGTCATTGGTAAGCGGATATTTCCGGATGGATTATCCCGTACAGCGGCAGGAGCTGCACTGGAGGCCCAGTGTGTGGGATTAAGTGGCATCTGCCAGGGTTACATTGCAACCATATCAACACAGCTCAGCCTTCCAAGTGTGTAGTAGAAACCACTGGTTTGTCTGTTCTATAATAATATAATAATAATAATAATAATAATAATAACAATAATAATAATAAAGAATAATGGTAAAACAATAGAAAACTCACATACTTTAAAGCAGCACTGTATATATACACATATATATTTAGATTGTCCTCAATGTTACACACTGGACCTTTAAATGGATGCACTCTGACAGGGTTTCCGACATTGTGTTTTTAACAACCATATCATATTTATCTTAATGGCTTTCACTTTTATTGTTTTATCATATTGTGTAATCACTTACAGTGCAACAGTTATATTATAATTCTTATGAACCAGATAACATGCCCTGAGCTCATCCTGGCATTATTACACCCATCCCATTGTTGAACACTGCTTATACACACATTAGAAACAATGGATATTATAGAGATGAATCAAAATGAGATATTCACTGTCTAAAAACACCTGCATGGTGAACCCACAGAGAGTTATAACAGCAGTCTCCTTCAGCTCTATGGAGGATTTTAGTCTCTTTCAGCTCATTGTTTTTGTTGGGTTTCCTCTCACTCTTCAGCTGCTCTAACATAGACATTTGGTATTTGTATGCATGTATGAAAGTTGTGTATTTGTAAATGCGTACGAGGAATGTGCAGGTATGTGTGACGAGAAGAGACGATATTTATAACTAAATTATGATAAAATATAATAGAAATTTAAAAAAGAAGAAAAAGTGTCAAAAAACATATACACACATACAAGATAGATAAGTAGTAGATAATTTCCACATTGAAATCTATAAAAAGATTCTTGATTAAGAAGCGTTTACTTGAATTGTAAGTGACACTAACTTAGTGTTGTTAGTGTCACTTAAAAAGTACAAATAAAGATAAATTTAAAATTATTAAAGCTACTTGATCAAGAATGTTTTGTTTTTAACCCTCAAAATGAAGTTAGTTGTACTTAATATAAAATTATAAAATTTAAATGAATCGTTCGACATGTGGTTTCAGAAAACCATTTCACAACATACTCAAAGTTCTCACACATCCTGGAAAACCAGGGGCCTCATGTACTAA